GTGGGTGGGGTGGGAGGGGTCTCCTCCCCCCCCCCCCCCCCTGTGAGCCTGACACTTCCTGCACTCTCCCTGTAGTTCAGAGTTTCTCTCTGGTGACAGCACAAAGGTTCCTGCTTCGTGTCCTTCCACCGAGCACCTGCAGCGTGGCCCCACTCACCTTCATTTCCCTGCTGGCTGGGGAGCTGGAGGCAATTTTAAGGCTTTCTCTTCCACTTCATCCATAAAAAGTTGTCTTTTTGTGCCACCTGAAGCTAAAAAAAAACTTAACTCCCTCTCAGTTTTTTTTTGAGAGTGGAGAGGGTGTCGGAGCATCAGGAGGATCCAAGGGCAGCTCATGTTCACTAGAGACATCTGCCCTTGCTCCTGGGTCTTAGAGGTTGGAAGTGGAGACCTCCAAGAGTGATTTGTTCCATCCCTGACTGTTTTCTGACACTGGTTTCCTGCACCCTGTGCTGGGGACCCCTGGGGGGACCCCTGGTGTTCCTCCAGCTGTTGGTGGGAAGGAAGGGGGGTGGGTTTTGTCCAAGTGCTCCAAAACAGCCCTGCCTTTCAGGACACCACCCTGTGTGAGGACCAAACAAGGGACTCTGAAGGTTCCTTCAAACTGGAAGACCCCACAGAAGTGACCATAGGAGAGACCTTCTTCCAGCCCGTGTGCATCACACCCACCACAAAGGTAGGGGGGAGGGACAGAGGGTCTGGGGGGGTCCATCCCCGGGGGGATGGGTCATTCTGGACAGACTGCAGCTGGGGTTGAAGTTCTGAGTCTGCTGAATTCAGTTCTAATAGAACCCACAGAAAATGGAACCCTCTGCACCCTGTTCCACATCCTGACTCCTCCTCCTCAGCCCACCAGTTTCTCCTCAGGATTTTGAGAGGAATTTCCCAACCTTAATGACTCTGAGGATGGAATTCAACCACCCCAACACCACAGGACCCTTTTTTTACTGGGGTGCTGGCCTGGCAGCTCCTGCCTGGCTCCTTCAGGGCACTGCCCAACTCCAAAATTCTTCTTTTTCTGGTAGGTTCTGAAAGAGCTGACAGATCAAGAGGTGTTCCTGAAGAAGCCCAGTGCTGCTGCTGCCCTGCTGAGGGGGGATGAGGAGTCCCAGGAGAACCAGGTGCCAGCTGTGAGGAAGAAGAAGAGGCTGCTGAGCAGCAACACCAGCTTCTTCTCAGGCTGCACCCCCATCAAAGAGGAGCTGGACTGAGGTGAGGGGCCAGGGAGGTGCCACCTGCCTGGGCTGTGTTCACATCACCCCCCTGGGGGCCTGAGGAAGGGGTGGGAAGACTTTAGAAGTCTCTTGGTGCAGCACCAACCTGGTGCCCTCTGTGCCTGGCAGCTCTTCTCTCAGTGAGGGTGTCAGACACTAGTTCCTGCTACATGTGTCTAGTTCTTTGTAAATATTTATATGTGTGGGGAGGAAACTCCCCTCTGGGCTTTCTGGAGGGGGTGGAGGTGATGGACTGAGGCTGCTCCTCCCTCACCTCAAGCTGTGAACACCTTGGGTCCATTTTAACCTGTAAGCTTGAAAGAACTTGGCCTCTGCACTGGAGATCTGGGCCCAGGGGCACCAGGAGGG